GGTCAGCTGTTATTGGACTTCACAAACTGACTGTCATGTTGTCACAGTGGCCTATAACTGTTTAACCGTCTAAGTAGAGTTTGCCAATGATTGATAACTTTGAAGTTAAGGTCAAGGACTTTAGATTATAACTTTAGACTTAGATTATTTGGTAAAGCAGTCAACACTTTCAACACAATTAAGGGGTTTTCACCTCGTTTGAATAAAAATTTCAATCGTTAGACCTGCTAAGAATTTTAGATCCTAAATTGCATGTCTAAAATAATTTTTAGATCGAAAATTTTTTTTGATTTCAGAGTAAAAAATAGTTCGGATGTTTTTGTGCAGTTGTTTTAAAATTTGTTTTCTGAAAATAAAAAAAAATCTTAAATTAAAACTCTGCTACGGACTTAAATAGTTGTGTCAACAAAAACTTATATTTCCTATTTTGTTAGTTAAATATTACTTTTCGGGAAAATAGCGTTCGACGATGTTAAAAAAAAAAAAAAAAAAACAAGAAACCCCCAATGAACATTCTCCAAGTCTATAAAGAAAATACTTAAGTACATCAATGCAGTTCTGCAACATATTTCTATTTCCTCAATAGAATAAATTAAAGTGTCAGGGGTGAGAATTAATTTAGGTGAATGAATTAGTTATATCTTTAATTGTTTACATAAGTAGAGATTGGCTGAATTGGAAAGTGATAACGGGCTTATCCCGATTTTTACTTCTGAAAGAAAACAAAAGTCTAAGGATGTAATTAACTAATGAGTTGGAAATCCACCGAAGAGACTAATCTGTTCTGAATCCGATAACAGTACGAGGAACTAAAAACAATTGACGAATCTAATTTTCCAAAACAGAAACAGAACTTAGAATTCTTTGAAACTTAGCGAACGGCCTGAGGAAATTCTCTTATTTAGCGTAGACCTTTCCTTGGTCTGACCTCAATCTTTGTTCCATGTGACCTTATAAGACCTGTTGTTCTGCCAATCCAATTCTATTGTTTCATTGAATTCCCTTTGTGATTGTTTTACGTGTAGTCCCTGTAATTTATTCTTTAATTATTGGGTTAAAACTTTTTGAAGTAATTGAACATTTTTGAAGTTACTTTGCTTGATACCAGTGGTGGTTCCATGTATAGTAGGGGCTTTAGGAGCTAGTCCCCCCATTGGACCCACGAAATATAAATGCAAACATACATTTCGTCATAAAAACGTAGCAGAGGTGTTTGCACACAGTTCTAGACAATTAAAATGGCTTTTAAAAGTCATCAAACGACTGTGGAAAGTGCAAATTTTCTGTTGTAGGATACCCGACCCCCCTCCTGGTATATCGGTATGTAAACCCCCCTTAACCCCTCTCTTGACAAGGTCCTAGACCACCACTGCGTAATATCATTGTCAAACGTAATAAAGTATTAACTGATAGCAGTATCCTTAATCAGGCTTTTAGGCATATAAAACTACAGTTCTTGTGGTCCCTAGTTCGGAATCCACATTTAGCTTGTTTTTTTCTCAATTCAAGAAATCAAATTAACACTTGTCTGTAATAAAGAGATCTCTCTGTGTTTTAGTAGGGAAATTCCTGTTTCAGAAAAGCCTTACAAAAAATTCTCACGGAATTTAATTTTAGTATCCAAAGTCAAAGGATTTTAAGGGGGAAGATGGAAGACTAATAAAAGAAGTTTGGAGACAAAACACAGCAGGAAGAAGACCCCGAGGAAGACCCAAGAATCGATGGAAGGACCAGGTGGAGAAAGATTTGCAAAGATTGAGAGCAAGGAAAGAAGATTCAGAGAACAGGGAGAGGTGGAGGCAACTTGTTGGAGAGGCCAAATACCACCTAGGGTATCCATAGCCATGGGAGTAAGAGTAAGTATTCAAAGTCAACTGTAGGGGCTAGTGCTAGTTAGCTACCGTTGCAACATATCTTGTAACTGAGCTAAACAATAGAAAGTGACGTTGCGTTTAGAACAACAACAGAGTCTTTGAGCACATAATAACCTTGCAAACGTCCTCTATGTCCACTCCACCGTTTCCGACTTGCAGGATTTTCTTGCATCACATTATTAATATATTTTAAATTGTTCAGCATTGCCCCAAAAATTACCTTTATATCATGTATTCATAAACTCTTTGGGGGATCATTTACTAGAGAAGACACAAATATGGATGAAATATCCACTACATAGGTACTAATGTATCCATAATGAAAGCTAATGGTATTCTACTTCATTTGAAGCCCAGTGTATGATATAAGTACGGTACTTTATAATACCTCAGGGGCGTATAATTGCAGTTTAATGTAACTCAAAGAACATTAGTAACACTTAACCCTGTAATTAGTTGGATCAATTACTACCGTTGCTACTCTATCAACATCGCTCGTAACTGCACCACTAAGCCAACCATTATGATGTTGGCCGAAGTATTTAAATCCCAAAATTTGTTACAACGAACAAAATTGTTGATTTACTGGCTATCATTGAATCCTTTAAAAGTAAAAGGCTAACCGAAGTACAATTTTGAAATTCTTAAGGTTTGAAAAGTGAAATGTTTGATCAAAACTCTCAAGGGTACATTACAACTTTTAGCAGAACCTACATTATCATCAACATCTCTTAAGGGGAAATAAAAGTAGAAGAACAAGAACCTTCTTATGGTAAGGTACTCGCTTTATTGACGTTTGTCCTCTTAATCTTATACTAATCCAAGTGATTCAGAATCTTTATACAATTCTACAGGCGGGAGTGAGAATACACAGGGTTTCTGCATCAAAACCGCGTCATATGAAATTCACTGCTAAACTTGCAATCAATTTCAACGTCAAATTCTAGTGCAATCCTCATTTGATATGCTAAAATTCTCATCCTAAATTGAAATTCATAGTGTAAAGTATGGCAGTAAATGCCATCTAACAACGCGGTTGACCCCGAAAACCCCAAATCCACGAGTTCAAAAATACTTTGCTATCATATCCATCTATAGTATTAATAGAATTTGTTGGATTTTTGTGTGCAGGAAATTGATTTGTAAATATCTATTTTTATAGGTATATTAGTTACCAATTTAAAGCTACTATCCTCTAGATGTGCCTTTTTCAGGTTTGGATGATATCTGGTGAAAGCCCTTCATCATACAGGATTTTACAATTTCAAGAGTTTGTGCCGAATTCTGAATTCATCTGAACTGTTTCAAGTTTAAATTAATTTGTTCACACCAACAGATGGCCAATTTTGATCCATACGAAAATGGGGTAGGCCTAATCAGTTGGTGATGTTTCAGTGAATTCAATTAAAATATTGTAATGCTGTTTGTATAAAATGTAAAGAAGAAAATACTTACGTTGGATTTTGTGTTGTGATAGGATTGTGTGTCTTCATAGTATGTTTCATTAGCATTTTAATTTTACTAAGAGGCCTCGAAGAGGTCGCGCACGCATTAAAAATAATATAGGGCACGCAATGCAAATAATAGGGATATGATGAGAAATAATCGTTTTCATCCTTATCAACTATATATCAAATATATCATGGATTTTGAAGTCACGAAGTGACGCAGGCTGCTAGTATCTTACAATCGATAATTCTTTTATAAAATTAAAGTCACTAAGCGTATTATTCCTCACTGATCTTTTCAAGTAAAATGGGAGAATTCAAAATAATTTAAAACACATTTGCAATATGAACTCATGCTATTTTCATCCTGCAATTGCCTTTGGATATTGCAGATCGTGTTCTCATCCTATTGCATAAGCTGAAGACTGCTTTGTATTTCCGGTTATTGGACTAGTTTATGTTGGTAGACTTTTCTCTCTTAAAGGGTACATTTTTCAGTTTTCTCTATATTTTGTCAACACTATCAACAATAGTGCTTGCCTGACATGGATAGAAGTTAGCTTTTTTGGTTCGAAAATGGACCCAGCTGTCCTTGATTGTGGTATTAATGATCTTAGCCAGTAACATCACCCCAAATGCTTTAACTCCATTCTTAATTTACCTTGTATTCATGTAAACTTAAATAGGCACCTAGGTATGTCAAATAGAGGATTGACGATCTAGTAAATACCTCAGGGAGAGCAGAAGTTTACAGATAACTCGTACTACTTGGTTTAGCCCTGCAGGTGGTTAATCTACAAGGAACGCTTGTTCTAGTATCAATGTGACTCACCTCTGACCCTCGGCGTGGTCACATGGGCAGACGCAGAGAGGACCTGTGCGCAGACTCGTGGCTCGCGCAGGCGCACAACACTCTGCACTGGTCACTCGGCAGCGGCCGCGCCACTTTCACTTGCCATCCCTGTTTTGGCGCATTCCTCGACTCCTCCTCGGGCGAGGTCCGACAACACGTCTCGCTCCACTGATAACAAGTCTCGCTCTAGTGATAACGTTTACTGTCCTAGTGATCTAGTGGGTCGAGTGGAAAAATTCTAGGTCGAGGTTGCGGGTGACTTGACATTGATAGGGAAAAGAATAAAAATAAACATATTTATGTGTTTAAGTCAGTCAAATTCAACATTGGGCTGTTGAGTCTTCGTGTTCGGAGGAAGATCGTGTTGTTGTACTGGCAAAATACTGGCCAAAGATTAAGGTTCGATGTTTGATACAGCAATTTATCTTCGGGATAAGCCGCAATTCAATAGCTGACTTGTAGTTTTAGCGCATGAATTCGACAACAATACCTTCGCTAATCCCCAAACACGTACATAAAGTTAGGCGAAGGTCAAAACTTTTCGGCTCTTTTGGAAACGTCAGTAGTTAACTCCTTTGTTGTTATGATTATCATGCGATCGACACAGAATAGAGAATAGATCAGAGTCATCATTAAGAGATTTGATCAGGAATAACAGCATTTACAAGCTTTTATGGAAGGTAGTTTTTTATGGGGGTATTTAATTAATCGGGAATAAAAATATAAATGAAACTAATGGAAATGTATAAAATTTAAGGTAGAAAAACTAAAAGCAAATTCTTTTTAAATGTAGTAAACCTTAGGATAAAAGTGAATCAGAATCAGTGACAAGAGAATATCGTATAATTTACAAAGTAAGCATATGGATAGGGATAATGATAATACATGAATTAACTAGATGATACCATGATACTAATGAAAATGTGGGTATGGTTTTATGGTAACATTTTTAGGAAGACTCTCCAAGTAACTCTTAAGTTTAAGGTAAAAATTTAGTGCCATATTCGTATACAGAATATATAAATATTGTACACCTACAATTCAATGTTTAATGTATGATTTAAAGGGTAGAAAACTACTACATAAAGTCAGCCTTTTTAATTATTAAGTCAAATAATATTACAAATTCAATCTTGAAGTATTAGTTTTAGACAATATTAAACTCAGTCCTGCCACAAGTGGTTTTGCAAGATTAAAAACTCATGTCTTAAAATAAATAGTTTACAATATACTAATAATAGTGAACGGGAGCCAAAGTCCTAAGGACTGGTACAGCAGCAGGCACTCTGGTCAGATGAGTATGAGCCGTCTTCAGCAGTGCAGGCTCATGTACAGCGACTCTCTCAACATGTGCGAAGGGCTGCTGGACATCCACCTCTTCTAGAGTCTGCACCGGTCGGCTGACCACGACCCTCCTAGTAGACACTCGCTCTTCTCCTTCGGCGGTCCTGGGAGCTGGGGTGACCGACAACACCCTCCCCCTCACCACACCCGCGTCACCAACGGAAGAAATCCTCACTCCGGACCGAGACAACTCAACTTCCGAAACCTCTCCTCTTCCAGTCAAAAGTTCAATGAGTTTCTGTTGATTACTCTGGGCTTCTTCAGGACTTGAAGCTCTAGTAGAAGCAATCTGACCTTCAGCAGAGAACGCTCTTGGCTCACTTTGAAGATTTTGGGATCTGAATGACGTTGTTGATGACTCTGTTGACGATTCCTGGGTGGCTTGAGAACTTTCCTGAGATCTTGATTTGTTGTCCTCTAGGGAATTGGAGCTTTCTATGTTTGAAGTTGTTTTAGGTTGTGGTTGCTGAGAGGGTTGTGGTATTTGTTGTATCCTTTGGTTAGGCACAAGGTCGTTCTGAGAGAAAAACTGCCTCAATAACTGACGAGTTTGAAATTCATTCAAGATTTGTTGACCTGACGACGTGTCGAATTGGGTTTCAGGTCGTGCAGTGTTCTCCGTACCCGTTCGCCTTTCGTTAGCGTCCTCGGTATTTTGTGAAGAATTGTCTTGCTGCTGCTCATCCCTAGCTCCCGATCTACCCAGTTCTGGGTTGTCTACAACAACAGTATCAGAGAAGTCGAATTCGCTTGACTCTTGACTATTGGGAGGGCCAATCGGTTGCGGAGCAGAAGGTAGTTGTTGAGGTGGTTGAGGGGATTGTGGGAACTGAGGTTGTTGTGCAGGAAACTGAGGCTGTTGAGGTTGTTGTGCAGGAAACTGAGGCTGTTGAGGAATTTGAGGTTGCTGTGCTGGAAACTGAGGTTGTTGAGGAATTTGAGGTTGTTGTGCAGGAAACTGAGGCTGTTGAGGAATTTGAGGTTGTTGTGCAGGAAACTGAGGCTGTTGCGGAATTTGAGGACGTTGAGGAATGTTTTGAGGAGGTCCTTGTGGAAGCTGAGTTATTCCTTGGGTCTGTTGGATAAAGAACGGATAGCTCTGCACTGGTGCTTGAAACGGGTAAGAAGACAGGAATGGGTACGCGTTAACAGGATAGTAAGCAAGTGGTCGTTGGTACCTTGCCACAGTGTGTTGGCCAGACGGCACGACTGTTACTGGCGAGACGTAATTCTTCGACACAGGTTCATCCAACTCCAACACAGCAGATCCAACAGGACGAACCACAGTGCGCTCTTCAATGTCGTAGAACTGCTTCTGAATCGCGGGGCGTCTCACCTGGAGTTTAGCTGTTGCAACTTTGGTTTTGGTGACGTCAACCAGCTTCTGGACGTAGCCTGGTTGAGTGACGTACTTTGTGACGGGAACATCAGCGACGGTAGGAACGTGGTGTACAACGTCAACCGGAGCTGCAAATCTTGCAGGAGGGGCTACAGGAATAGGTGCCACTACTGGAGCAGGAGCGCCGTATCGTAGTTGGGCGAAAGGAACAGTTGCTGCAACGGCTCCAGGAGCATAGTACTGCAGCTGTCCTCCCCTCGTCATGGAGTCCAGGGCCAGTCGAGCCAGAGGGCCGTGGGCCTCCGAGGTAGAGACGGTCCCTGGGTACACGCCCCCTATACATGAGTGTACTAGAGACACTGCTAGGAGTAGCAGCGAAAACATCCTGAAAGTATAAATAACGTGTTTGGACTTTTTATACAGCATCACTGTTTCATAAATTGTTCAATAAAATAATTCACTAAAATAGCATTAAGTGCGCGTTTGATTGGATCAACAAGGTGTTATCTTTTTTTACACATCTTTGGGTACTAAATTTAAGGAAAATGGAGGACAACAATGCATTTTAACGAAGACATTTTTTGGAATATAATGATTCTGGAGTCATTTTTGGTAATTTTCTAGGTATACCGTTGACCAATTTTCGGATGGCTACTAAATAGGTTCACCATAGTATCTTCGAGTTGTTCTGCCTTTTTCACCTAACCGATTTTTACGATTGTGGTGTGATTTTATGGTAATCAATAAAAAGTAATTTACTATAGAGCTTCGCTCCGCTGCCCCGCGTTGAATTATTTCTAGAGTTCATTTTCTAAGATACAGTTAAATGCTGACCGACTTTCTTTATAATGGTTTAAATGTGAATTGTAATTTAACAGCTGGGCCGCCAGATAAACGTTTTACCACAGTCACATTTTCAAACAAGAGACGAAACCACTGAGCTAAAATTATAACTGGAGGTAGCACTGCCATGGCAGAAGTCTGTCAAAAGCGTGTCGCTGATTTTGTTAGGTTGGTATAGCAGTGAGTTTTTTTATCCAATAACATGGCTTCTATAACTAGGTTTGTATAGCAGTGAGTTTTCTTATCCAATAACATGGCTTCTTATAACTCACACCTCACGCAAACATGGCGGCTGGCGACACGCATCTTTGACATTCAGTGCTACCTCCAGTTAGAATTATAGCTCAGTGGACGAAACAGTTTATGATATTATCATTAAACAGCTTTTTTTTTATATATCATTGTCATTGAGCATAGAGCAAAGACTTTTGGAGAATAATTAATTTTCCCCGAGCAAAGTTCGATCGTCATGTACTATTATGTACTATATAATCAAACAAAATTCGTAAATTGATTTTCAAGATATGGAAAAAAGGGGTTACATTTTTTGTAGCTTCCAGTTATAAAAAGAAATTTTTTAGCCCTTGAAATTGTTTATATTCATATTTTAATATTTCGACTAGCATTCTTGACTGAAACTCTGCATTAATGTTGTCAAGAGGGTAAAAATTAATAAAAGATTTCTAACACAAACGTGAAAACGACTTTGTAGTATGACTCGAAATTCTTTTACGCCTGCATATTACAAACTAGTGACAGCTTAGCACTACTCACTGACTAACTGCGGCCACATAAATGCAGGCGTACAAAATAATCGTACAACATTTTCATTTATCATTTATAACGGTTCCATGTTTATACCACATTTGCAAATGCACTCTTTTTACTTTCTCCTTCTACACAAAGTCTATGGAAAAAGTATTGTTTTCGTCAAAATTTTCCCATAAAACCTAAAACCCAATAAAATAACCACCAAAAATATTTTATATTATTTTAGTTTTTTTTTCAATGTTGAGGTTTCATTGCGTGTTTTTTAAAATTTCCAACAAATCAGTTTTCTTGTGTGTTTTTTAAATAAGATTCAAGAGCCGCCATTTTGTATTTTTCAAAAATTGTTTGTTGTCAATAACCGTAACACATATAACTTTGAAACTTTGCATGAATCATATCACATACCTCTGGAAAAACATAAACAAATTTCCAAAGTAAAAATTTTACATGGTGGTCGTGTTATGTTTTTAATAAAAATAAAAATAACTATAAAACCGTGAATCTATATTGTGTTACGGTTATTGACAACCAACAATTTTTGAAAAATACAAAATGGCGGCTCTTGAATCTTATATAAAAAAAACACAAGAAAACAGTTTTGTTGAAAATTTTAAAAAACCCAATGAAACATTAAACATTGCAAATAAAATAAAAAATAGCAGGAAAATGATATTTCTGTGGCGGTTATTTGATTAGGTTTTTTAAGGGACAAGTTTTGACGAAAACAATACTTTTTTCCATATACTTTGTTTAGAAGGAGGAAGTAAAAAGATTGTATTTGCGAATGTTGTATAAACCTGGAACCGTTAAAAATAAGAAATAAAAATGTTGAATGAATATTTTGTACGCCTGCATTTCTTTGGCTGCAGTTAGTCAGTGAGTAGTGCTATTTATATTTATATTTATATTTAGTAGTATTTATGGTTATTATGTAATACGATCGTCTTTGTTATGTTTTTGCTATAATTTATTGTTGTTAATTACTACATTATTGTTATTAATTACTACATTATTGTTGTTAATTACTATATTATTGTTATTTGTTTTGTTGCCTATGTCTAAGTGTTAAAAGTTCACAGTTGTTATTTAATATTAGTCATCTTGAACTGTACAATGTATCTTTAGTACCACATCAAACAAAATAGAATGTCCGTTGAAATAAAATAAAATAAAAATAAGCTGTCAGTATTTTCTAATATGCAGGCGTAAAAGAATTCCTAGTCAAACTACAAAGTCGTTTGAAAATCCATTTTTTACGAAGATAACCAAGCGATATACATAGTACATGACGATCGGACATTGCTCGGGGAAAATCATTATTATTCCAAAAGTCTGCTCAATGATATTTTTTAAACGCTAGTGCTCTCTATCTATCATAAACGGTTTTTTCTAAAAAACTGACTGTGGTTAAACATTCATTTGGTGGAACAGCTGTTAAATTACAATCTGCATTTAAACCATTACAGAAAGTTGGTCGGCATAACTGGATCTTAGACAATGGACTCTGGAAATAATCAAACGTGAGGCAGCGAAGCGAAGCCCTATAGTAAATTACGTTAAGCCACACTACATTATTTTGACGTACTTCCCACGCAAGCATTTAGTCTGCTCAATGATATTTTTTAAACGCTAGTGCTCTCTATCTATCATAAACGGTTTTTTCTAAAAAACTGACTGTGGTTAAACATTCATTTGGTGGAACAGCTGTTAAATTACAATCTGCATTTAAACCATTACAGAAAGTTGGTCGGCATAACTGGATCTTAGAAAATGGACTCTAGAAATAATCAAACGTGAGGCAGCGAAGCGAAGCCCTATAGTAAATTACGTTACGCCACACTACATTATTTTGACGTACTTCCCACGCAAGCATTTAGTCCAGAAAACAGCTGTTTGCCGCCAGCTTATTCAAATGGGGGTTCATTGCGTACTACTGTACTGCAATGAGTTTTACCGGACACTAATCAGCTGATTATACTGTATTTAGGTGGGAATGAATGGTTATAAACAAAAACATAACCTCAATTAGAGGTTATCACTAGTGATTTTTAGTCCTTTAGTTGGTGGAAATATATAAGGATTCGTACTGATTTAGTAGTATGGCGTAAACTATCGTACGTCACTCGTCCGGTAAACACTTATTTTCAGGACTAGTAACGTAATATACTACTGTATTTTATTGAATACCATTCGTAGGTGCGCTATATCATACGATTTAAAATCACACCTCAATCGTAAAAATCGTTAAGTAGGAAGAATGAAAAAGGGATGTAACAGAATTACTCAAAGAGTATTACGTATATAGATAGTAAATACCCCCGCCGCAGCAAACCTGCAGACTTAGCGAATTTTCATTTTCCTGGTTGGATTTACACTTACATCACAAACACACTTTTACCCTCCCTGTTGCAGCAAACCTAAGTACTCGTTAAACTAATTATATTTAAATAAGGAATAAATCTGATATTTTTAAGGAGAAATTTTAGTATAAATCCAACCAGGCAAATTAGCTTAGTCTGCAGGTTTGCTGCGGCGGGGATATTTTATAATGGAGAATATCAGTCTATAAGGCACCTATATTTATTATGTTCACTAAAATATATTGATGCGTTTATAATAATGTAGTCATCTTTATTAATTACCATGTTCTAAACTTAAATTATAATTTAATTAGGTACATTCATTATTTTAGAGAGTTGTTAATTGTTATTTAAAAACAGTTAAATATCTTAAATTTCTTTAAATAAATTACTTGTTTGAACCTCTAGATACCAAGATGTGCCGGTGAAATAATTAGATCAAAACTACTTTAGTTTAAGCTCCAATATCCAATATACTGCTTTATGCTTAGTTATTCAGTATACAATTTCTAATTCAATTTCAATCGCTATGCCAAAAGTAAAATATTTCACTTGTAGATTCAATAAGCATTTTCGTGACTTTAACTTTTTTTATTTCTTCTATCGGATTAAATGGTTGTGTTTCCTGTGGGCAGTCCATCATTCAAAAATTAGCATGCTTATAACTTCATGCAAAATCTATTGAGAGGGAATAAGCTAAAAAATATTGCTAAAATATACAATCCTTTTCTTACTATAATATAACAGAAACTTAATTAAAAAATCAAGCCCCAAAAATACACCAAGAAAAATGTCTACATAAGAGGGTACTTTGGTGGGCTGATCTGAATTGAAAATAATTATGAAGGAATTTTTTTATAAAGTCAAAAGTCTTATATTTTTTTTTGTAAATAAAAACGTGACTTACCTGATGCAGTGTTGCAGTCACAGTAGTTGCCAAAATCCAATTCCGTCAGGTAGTCTCTATGTATATATACAGGGCGGGTCCCCGGTCGGTGGGGGGCGGACTGCCGTGACCCCTGTGCGTCGGGGACCCATGGTCCATCCGCTCATCTCCAGAGTCATCCTCGGACCTGCGGAGGAGAGTACGTATTGAGGAGGTTTGTAGATCGTCTTAGAGGATAAAGTGTTGATATTAGAGGTTGAATAGCTGTAGAGTGTAGGGTGTTTTCGAAATGTACATGTACAGCGTGTGAATGTTTTTGTTATTTTTGTTTGTTTATTATTTATAAACGGATTCCTAATTTAATAAATAGTGTTTCTTATGAACAGGAGCAAATGCATAAAAATAAATAAATTGGTAGGAGCATAGACAAAAATAATTAAATATACACCGTCAGCTGTGCTGCGGTTACCATAGGTTCTGGTACACCGCTGGGAGCGCTACGTTACGGCCTACGCACTACGTAA